CTTCCCCCTCCTTCGCCTTTTTCAATGCAGGCGGTTCTGAAAAGCTGCTGCGCGTCTGCTTGAACCTCCCGTACTTCCTGCGCTACATTAACCGCTTCCAGGACGCCGTGTCGGCCAATTCCTTCTTCATCATGCCGGCTACTGTCGCCGATGCCACAGCAGTCCGTAACGGGTAAGCGCCCGTCCTCTTCCTTTCCATATTGTTTGGACTATAAGACGCGCTCAAAAAAAAAGAGGGTGGAAATATCCGTGTGTCTTATAGAGCGGGGTGTCACCAAACCTTCGGGCCTCAGGGACCACTAAATCCATAATTTTAAATCCCGCAGACCACCCATACGATTGGCCAATGACCGGCTGGGTGGGTGTGGCTAGGTGGCCATGGGACAAGGGTGGGCGTGGCCAACTCGAGGTCCCTTGCACCGAGAGGCACCTCGCCGGCCTCTACTCTCCCTCTTCCCCTCCCAGCCACTCCTCTCCTGCCGGGGCTCCTTAAGGGCCCCAACAGGAAGCTGGATCGGGCCGAGAAGGAGGCTGCAGCAGAAGCACCTCACTGAGGACTAGGAGCACAGGCTTTCCAAGCAGAGGGAAGACCTGCGGGGGGGGGGGGGGGGCAAGGCCAGGTACCGGCGCCTGGAGGCTCAGCCGGCTGAGATGCTCAGCCAGTTCTAGGCCACGATGCAATCCCACTGGGACGAGGCCCTCCGGCTCTTCGCCACCAGCGGCCCTTTCCTCCAGCCCTCACCCGAAGCCTCGCACCAGGAGGCTGAAGCAGACCCCCAATGGGAATTTCTGCCCTCCTCCGACCCGCACACAAACGTTCATTGCACGTATCCGGCCCAGGAGCACCCATGGTTGGAGGACCTCTGATTTTAATGCAATATTAAAAAATGCAAATATTTTTTCTGCGGGCCACCAAAGTTTTCTCACGGATCATCAGTGGTCCACGGGACCACCAGTTGGTGACCGCTGGTAGAGCGAATACAGGCCCATTTTTGCCCTCCCAAACCCTCCGTGCGTCTCGTTTTCGGGAGGGCAAACATGAGACCAACTGAGGCCTCCGGGGGCCAAAAATGGGCCTGTTTTTGGCCTGCAGAATGCTTCTGGGTGCCGGAGAGGACAAAAACGGGACGCACAGAGGCAAAAAACCCCTATTTTTTTCCCCTTGTTTTCCTCCTCTAAACCTAGGTGCATCTTACGGTTTGGAAAAAAATACGGTATATCCTGGTTTTTCTCCCATAGGTTCCGAGCCAAACTCGATCTCTTTGTTCCCTTCCTTGCCAACTTTTATTACACCAACCTTCCGTTTCCCCTCCCACCTGTACAGGTTCCATTCCCTGGTGATTGACGTCACCATGGCCCTGGACACGCTCTCCCTCCCTGTCCTGGAACCTCTGACCCCGGCCCGCCTGCAGGACGTGACCGTACTGGCCCTCAGCTGCCTCTACGCAGGTGAATCTGTGCGACGCAGGAGCCCTGCCAAAACCCCTGGGGGAGGCTGTGCGGTTGTGGGTTCCTAAGGAACCCACAACTACACCTGAAGGAAGAGAAGGAGCTTCGTTTGTTGCAGTAAAAGGGCTGGGCAGGGAGAGAACGATCTTCTTCTTTCTCAGCTCCTCTTTTCCCTCTGTTTCTCCCATGCTCCGTTTCCCATCCTGAGATCTTTGGGAAAGAGATTTTAATCTCCGTGAACCTGGGCTTACAGAAAAAGATCCCAAAGTCGCTTTGCTTTTAATAGTAATAGCACTCAGACTTATATACCGCTTCACGGCCCTCTCTAAGAGTCAGCCTGTCACCCTCAAACAATGTGGGTCCTCGTTTTACCCACCTCGAAAGAAGGAAAGGCTGAGTCAGGCTTGAACTGCTGGCAGTTGGCAGAGTGAGCCTGCAATCCTGCATTCTAACCACATGGAACGAAGGGGGAGATAGAGAGGGAAGGAAGGAAGGAAGGAATAGCTCTTAGACTTATATAACACTTTACGGTGCTTCACAGCCCCCTCTAAGTGGTTTATACTCAGCCCATCGCCCCCCAACAATCTGGGTCCTTGTTTTATCCACCTCGGAAGGATGGAAGGCTGAATCAACTTTGAGCCACTCAGGATCGAACTCCTGGCGGTGGGCAGAGTTAGCCTGCAATACCGCATTCTAACCATTGGGAAGGAAGGAAAATAGCAATAGCCCTTGGACTTATATACCGCTTCCCAGTGCCTTTACAGCCCTCTCTAAGCGGTTTACAGAGTCAGCCTCTTGCCCCCAACAATCTGGGTCCTCATTTGACCCACCTTGAAAAACTGGAATGAGTGGGGGGGAGGCCTCTTGCTCCTCGTTCCCCCATCACAGGTTGAGACTCGGGGCCTTGAGTTGGTCCCCCGTTGCTCTGGCTGACCCCAGGATCCTTCCTCTTCCCCCAGGGGTGAGCGTGGCCACCTGCATGGCCATCCTACATGTGGGCACCACCCAGCAAGTCCGCACGGGCTCCACGAGCTCCAAAGAAGAGGACTACGAAAACGATGCCGCCATCATTGTCCAGAAATGCGTGAGTCGGCCACGCACGGGACGGGGGAGGGGAAGGGCCTGCAAGGAAAACGGGGAGTTTGCAGCCGCAAAATTCTCGAGGGCGTTGGGGAGGCATCGGCTGGTTTTTTGGTCTCTTTTGCGACACCTTTTTTTAAAAAACAAAACCAAACAAACCCATCTCTCTCCACAGTTGGAAATCTACGACATGATCGGCCAAGCCATCAGCAGTTCCCGCCGTGCAGGTGGGGAGGTAAGAGCGAAAAGGAGCAAAAAAAAAAAAAAGTATCTTGTGTCAATGAGATGTCCCAGGGCGTGGCATGAAAGCAACACAACACACAGAATAGGCCTAACTCTCCTTTATTGCTCCAACTGTGCCTCCAAATGTCCCCACATTCACTGCAAGTCCTGGAGCACACGCACCTTCAGAAGCCTTGGCTGCAAGCAATCCAGTAAGCCAGGTTACCTACACCAGGGCCAGCAGTCCAGTAAGCCAGGTTAGCCACACCAGGGCCAGCAGTCCAGGAAGCCAGGCTAGCCAAACAGTAACCAGAGCAAGAAGTTCAGCGAAGCAGGCAAGCCCCACAAGACAGAGCACTGCAATCTCCGGGCGTCGGTAATTGCACCCGAGACTCCACTGATTCAAAACTTGTTCCCGACAAACGCCCCTCCCACCAGCAGCTCCTTACATCTCCATCCCCAGGTCTGCCTTGTGGAGGAGGCGGTGGGGCACTCTCCTCCCTCATAGCCGGCTCAATCTGTGTTGGTCTCGCCTTCTTTCTTCTCTCCGTGCTCCCGGATCAGGAGGGGGTGGTGCTTGCTCTTCGCCTGAGCTCTGTCACTCCTGCTCCTCCCTGTCTAATTCAGAAAATCCTTGCCTGGACTGAGCCTGCCCTTCCCCAGTTTCCTCTCAAGGTCCACAGAGCCGCCCTCTCGATCTCTGTCAGCTCTTGTTCCAGCTCATCTTCCCCCATAGATTCAGACTCCCAACAGTGGCATGACAGTCGCCCTTTGGAGCGGCAATCAGAATGCGATGTTGTGTGTGTGTGTGATATGTACAATTATACCTGTGAAAATATAGAACAACGGTAACGCCATTTTTAACCTCTCTGCGAACCTCAGATAATTTACTGGAATATTATGTAAGAATTCTCTGTTGTTTTGTATAAAGGTTATATATTTGGTGGGTCATGCTGTCCAGTGTCACGTTAATGATGGAGATTACTGGAAATGGAAACAGGTTAGGGAAACAGATGGTATGCTACAATAATAGGGGTGTTGCATAGGGAGATACGTAGCTGGATAGATTGCGAACCCGGAAAGGGGCAGAGACTATATATTTGAAACGGTATATAAACCCCAACCCTCCTGGGGGAAATGTCTTCTGTGGCCATGAGCGCAGAATTCCCTTTTGCAGAAGCTCCATAATAAAGCTCCTATTTATTGTTCACGTGTCTCCAGTTGTCTGAGTACCTGGAATGGTTGGTTTTTATCACAGTGCCTGTGTATCTTTTTTGTTTCTTTTCTTTTTTCCGGGACTGCAGCACTATCAGAACTTCCAGCTGCTCGGAGCCTGGTGTCTGCTGAACAGCTTGTTCCTCATCTTGAACCTCAGCCCGACCACCCTGGCCGACAAAGGGAAAGAGAAGGACCCCCTGGCAGCCCTTCGGGTCCGGGATATCATTGTGCGGTCCAAAGAGGGTGTCGGGTCTCCCAAACTCGGACCTGGCAAAGGGTAGGTGTGGCCCCGAGCAGGACAAGTCCTGGTAGGGATGGGTGAGGAACGGGGCTTTCCTTTGCTGTCTCTTCTGCCTTTGAATTTAATTCTTTATTGTCATTGTATGTACTGTATATACACAGTATACATACAATGTAATTCACACAACACCCAGAGACCAGACCCAACACGCACACACACACACCAATCCCCAAACACCCCCCTCACCCGCCAAAATTCCCCACCTCCTAAAAACACACAAGCATCCAAACAATAGACCAGTTAATGCTGTCCAACAACTCACTGACGGTGGGTCCTTAAGTTCATTGTTAAGTACAGTTATAGCTCTGGGATAAAAACTGTTCAGAAAAACGTGTGGTCCGAGTTTTAATCGTTCTGTACCTTCTGCCAGAAGGCAACAGTTCGCAGAGATTGTGAGCAGGATGGGAAGAGTCTCTGAGAATGTTGTGCGACTTCCTCAAACGGCGAGATGCGAAGATGTCATCCAGGGCTGGTAGCTGGAGCCCGATGATATTCTGAGCAGTTTTTAATGATCCTCTGTAGAGCTTTTTTGTCCGCTACACAGCTGCTCCCATACCACGCAAGGATGCCGTATGTCAGGACACTCTCAATGGTGCTGTGGTAGTAGGACAGAAGTAGAGGCTGAGATAGATTTATATCTTCCTGAGCATTCTCAGAAAGTACAGCCTCTTCTTCTGTGCCTTCTTCACAAGCATGTTAGCATTCATAGTCCATAAGAGGGCCTCCGAGATAGAAGTGCCCAGAAATTTAAAACTACCAACCCTCTCCACCTCCTGGCCAGAATATTATTGAGCTCCAGCCCTGGACGACATCTTCGCATCTCGCTGTTTGAGGAAGTCGCACAACATTCTCGGAGACTCTTAAGTACCTAGAGATAGTTTTTATGCCAGAGCTATAACGGCACTTAACAATGAACTTAAGGACCACCATCAGTGAGCCGTTGGACAGTATTGGTCTGTTGTGTGGATGCTTGTGTGTTTTTAGGAGGCAGGGAATTTTGGCAGAGGGGGGTGTTTGGGGATTGTTATGTGTGAGGGCATGTTGAGTCTGGTCTCTGGGCGTTACGTGAATTTCGTTGTGTGTGTACTGCGTATATACGTACAATGGCAATAATTCAACGTTCAATATTTATGTACAATGGTAAACTTATGTCTCTCTTCCTCCTGAAGTCAATTATAAGTTCTTTCCTTGGCGCTGGATGTTAAAAGCCGGCTCGGAGGGGGCACTTTCCTTCCATGTCCTTCCTGAGTTG